CCCCCGCCCCCCCAATGTATGAAAAAGCCCTCAAAAGATATTTACTGGAAGGCTCGAGACAGACTCGACGATGAAACTGAAGTAACACAAAAAAAAGTTCCCCATGGCTGATTTAAAGGAGAATTCTGACATGAACCATTTTCTTCACATTTCATGTCCAGTATGGCTATGGAAAAATTAAACAATGAGATGAATTGAAAAATGATCTCCTTTCGAGTTGTTGCTTGTTAAGTTTGTGGTCTGAGTGTCTGAAACTAGAACAACACCAAAACTTAAAGACGAAATAACGACACAATGATTTGAATGTTTTTCTCCTCCAATGTGAGCCAAAGAGTTATTCGATTAGTCAAGTGTTGCTAGGGCGTAGAAGCCACTCTGAAGGCTTAACACAGACTGTTGGCTTTTTATTGAGCGACATCTTTTAGCCAGTGACACATTTACAAGCTGGGGGGGGGGGGCGACTTAGTCCTCAAAATCTAGTTTATGATTATACTTGAGGACCCGCAGAATTTTCGCACATGCTTTTAAAAAGGCGTTAGACCAAGACATCGCAGAAAGGTCTCCAACTACAGTTAGGTCCAATAACAGTTGGCTGTTCCCACAGAGCAGAGAGAATAATTTAGCAGTTAATGTTGTTGCATGCTCTGTTTTGTATATATTGGCGCTCTGTGTGTGTTCAAGTAGCGGATGGTTCAAGTTTATAGTGACTTCATCATTGATGCTAATTTTTGAAAAGGAGGGGATTGGAAATGAATAATGTGAGAAAAGACAAAAAAGAGTGGAGACAAACGTGAAAGTGGACATTGGATTTTTTTTAAAAACACCTTCCATCATTTCTAACTGCTGGGTTTTAAATTTGAGTATAAAACTATTCAAAACGAGATGGGATTACATTAATAGCACACCTGATGCTGACACCGTTGCACTGCCTGGAGTAGAATTGCAGAGATGTTTATTATTAATTCATTTTTGTTCTCCCCCCGTTGTTATCAGATTCGCATTTGCCGTGTAGCAAACATTTGTGGATTTTGTAAAATCAGAGAAATGTTGTGAAGTTAAGACTTGAATGCCCATGTGGCCAAGAAAAACTTTTGTTCAAAAAGAAAAACTTGGCCTGCCACTAAAATGAAAAAGAGCAATTTCAATTGGCAAAGCATTTATTACTATGTGGGAGGGACCAAATAATACATTCTTGCTTATTTCCTGAAAAAATTAGGAAATAATACAAAGTAGCCTGGTCCAATGGTGAAGGAATGAGTCATGTAGAAAAGAAAGTGAACACACTCTCCGCTACAATCATTCAATCCTAAAACCTACACATCCAACAAGGACAAAAAGAGCGAGGACAGCGTACCCGACGAGGAGTCGGAGGATTTTAGAGCAAAAGACCAACCATCAGGGGTCATAGACGCACAGTGAGGTAAGCGCAGCTCCACCGGCTTGAGGAACTTGAGTCCGTGAGGGCCGCACATCACCAGCGGGCTTAGCAGCGTTTCCCCTGTGTGGACATGCACCGGCATTCACAAGTCACTCATTCTGGAGAACAACTCAACTTTTGCGTGGCGTTTGTTGCTGTGCTGGGTGGGTCATCTCAAGACACGCCTGATGATTTTCTTCCCTTGTTGTGTGGTCTTCTCCCGTCTTAAAAATCGGCGAAGATGCTCACCTTTGCATTTTCGTTTCATGGGCCAACACTAAAGGAATGACGCTTTGCTACGATGTGAAGTTATAAGTGAGACTGACCTTTCTCCTTGTCGAGCGGGGGCAGGATGCTGTTGTCGCGGCACACCTTGAAGTAAATCTCCTGCTCCACGTTCTCCGGGATGGCACCCTGGGGGATGATGATGCTGACGCCCGTCTCGATGGAGCTCAGGACCCCTCCGTTGCAGTTGAAGATGCCTCGGGCGGTGGCCACCACCGTGTGCCCTTCGTCCTCGTCGTCATCGTCCAGCGCGCCGGGGCTGCGGCAGGGGTCAGAGTCATCAATCAGGGCGGTGTTTGGTGCGCAACAATGCACGTTAAGAGCAGCACAGTGACCTCACTGTGGGGGAAAAAAGAAACCGAGTGAGAATTACCTGACAGGAATGGCTTTGGGGATGGCGTTGATGTTATTGTGCTGGTATTTGGGCCTGTTGTCCATGGTGCGAGTGAAGGTGTCCAGACCGCTGTCATGGTCCAGAGGCTGAGGCGAAAGCTGCGGCTTTCCCCCGCTGTTGCTCACCACGCCGGGCTTGCCGAGGAGCTCCGTCTTCACCTGTGTGTCGTTGGGCAGCAGGTTGTGGTTGAACTTGGGGCTCTCGAACTTGCGCTCGAACGGTCGTGCCGAGCTGGTGTACGGCTTGGGGACGTAGCGATTGTAACCGGTGGGAACGGGAGCACCGATGGTCTTCGGGGGAGCCGTATCCGTGCCGTTGACCGGGGACTTGTCGGGAAGGGCCCTTGGGGGCAGATAGCCAATGGGCGTGGGGTCATCCCTGCTAACGGGTCTGAGAGCTGCCAGGTCTGGTTTCGGATTGGGCGGGCTCAGTGGCTCGGGTATGGAGTTCACTGGACAAAATAGAACCAATCGCAGAATTACACCCAACAATATCCAGCCATCCATTGTCTGAACCTACTGATCCTCACATCCATAAATACTAAATCAAAGATCCTTTCAATAAGTTAGTCAAGAGACGTTTGTATTACACTGTATCATAAGATTCAACCGGATGATGTGTTGGAAACAAACGGCTTTTTGGGGTAATGTTTTTGTGTAAAATCACCTTGGGAAAATCCGGTCAAAAAATGCTTGACTATTTCTCAACATATCTCAGGACCTGAACTAAGTCTGCTCGTCGGAGAACGCATTGATCTCCAATTGGCTGACTGTTTTCAGTTAAAAATAACAGTGAGAAACTGGCATGAGCCAAAATTC